TTTATGTACTTTAGTCGTACAGTCCATAACCATTCATTTTCACCAGTGTTTGATGTCTTCAAACACAAGATTTGTCAAACTGAAATTCTTTCAACCCATCCACTTACCTGACTACAGTCTAACTCATTCTATTTGGGATTTGCTTAAGATATGTTTCATCTTGACTAATTGGAACATGTATTCTACATTCATTCACAATTTTGACAAAAGTTGTTCCAGTTTTATCGTGTTTTCTGTTTCCTTTGGTCGTTGACATTGTATAGTCCTTATCATTTTTCATTCTGTGATATTTGAAAAAAAAAACGATAGACAGGTTGCTGAATTTCATTCAGTATGGGTGTGCAAGTCTTCATTTGATTCTCTGAAAGAAAATTTATCATTCAGCATGATAGATTTCCTTGAAATTATGTAGCACCTGTCATTAAGTTGCATTAGTAAAATGTATTATTCCCTTGAATTGGATTTCCAACTATATATCACTTACAAAATTTGAATATCTGAAATACAAACATAGTTACTCTCGCCACCCTAAATGCATCAATGAATAAATTGATAGGTAAGCAGGAAGGCAGAATTCCATTACTTGATATGCTTGTTAACAATTGGCTTATCATTTGAAAGGATGTAACTTATAATGAACAAAATGCCAACTGAAAAACGAGGTTCACATCATTTGATATGATTCGTGAATGAAGTTATGATTAGGCTTTTGCCTATCGTGCATTCTTAGTTATCAAACACCCTGTTGTCCTGTTATTTTATTCACGAATCCACTTATAAACGAACAAAGTGTCTTTATCCACTGCAGGAAGAATCTCAACTTACCAAGATTACTCGTGACAGTGCAAAGATAACAGTGGAGCAAGTCCATGGATTAATGTCACAGGTAAGGTTTAAACGTAATAATATTCCTAAATTTATGCCCACGCATTATTTAATTATGTCGAAAAAGAGTGATGAACACTTTCTTTATTTCTATTCATTTAGGTCATCAAGGACATTCTTTTCAATTCCGTTCGGCAATCCAACAAATCTCAGGCAGAGTCATCTAGTCCTGAACCAATGGTCGAAACATGAGCTGATGCCAATCGAAACCACTCATTTTTCTGGCGTGGCTCTTGCTCATTTATGTCCCGAAGAAAATTGATTTACGGGTTTCCTTTTGTATTAGCATCTTCAAATGTATTGCAATTACTAGACTTAGTTGAAAAAGATGGCTCCCATCATTGCACTTTTGAAACGAGCGATGTTTTTGGCTCTATTCTTAGACTCGAATGGGTTCATCTATATCCTTCAAAGAAAGATCATATGCGTTTTAGTAGTAATTTATTTTTGTAGAGAGGACTCTTGTGAGACTATTACGATTTCCAAAAGCCCCTTTTAATTTATTGTTTTTATTTTTGAGGATCCTTTTCACACAATGGGGAATATTCTCATTTGAGGAATTCTGTCTGCCAAGTTATTCGGAAACAAGATTTCAAACGACTCCAAATAAGATCGAATTTGAAATCTAGAAATCTACCACAATAAAGATGTTTGTTGATTTAGGCAGTTACCCAAATCTTGAAACAAAAACTCAATTGTGTTATTTTTATTAGCAAAATCCCGTTTCAGTTGGAAAATGAAAAGACTCGATTAGGGCACTAAAAACTCCTCAATTAGAAGAATCACAAAAAGAACACATCGGAGTTATTGGTTGGCTTTCACAAGTTACAACCTGATTTTTGGTCTATGAGGTCTATGAGATGTTACACCTGGTGTAACACACCA